AATGGAAGAATGCTTCCGTCAATCTAGCTACCATCACGCAGGGAGGTGGAGTTTCTGCAATGACAAAACCACCCCCTTCTGTTGCTGTAGGAACCATTTTCACTATGGCAGAACTGCAGCATAGCTACAGTGCCATAGCGGTGCTGCTGTAACACCTGTAGCATAGGCATGGCCTGAGCCTTATTGAAAGTGAATGGGATGTAAGCTCTTAAGTGATTTAGATGCCTTTGAAAATTTTACCCCCTAGTCTACAGCTTAGGCCTTATGTATACAACAGGATCTTGTGAATGTAGCTTCCTAGTAACTGCTGAATATTCACCTGTGCCTCTTTGTGTTAGTTTAACCTGGCCTGCTAGGCTTGATTCTGCCCAGTGGCAGTAGCTACAGTGTTGGGAAGTGGCTGTTTTGCAAACTCAGAACCCTTTTGAATGACTCTGAAAGTAAGGAAGCTGCTGTTTTCTTTCCCAGCCAAAAGCTGCAAATAGAACAAGTGAATAACACACCTTTTAGTTTAAAGAGAAGCAGAGAGAGGCTGTGGATGAAAAAAGGAGTTAAGTAGGGAATAGGGAGGGTGGGAGTGGGGCTGACTAATAAGCAGCAATATGCAGGTTGTATTTTGTTTTTTTCTCCTCCCCTCCCACCCCAAGGCAGATCAAAGAGAGATGTCAGGAAAGATGGGCAGAGAATGAGGCACCATTATTCCTCTCATATAGTCTATAGGCCACTTGATGTTTCAGAAACTCAGGCTGATTCCAGAGTTAATCTAGCATCTCTGTGAGGCGCTAAAGGGGGACATGGAATGGATAACCTGACAATGCTGGCCACAATTCCTTTTCAGTTGACCAATGGAGAGAATAGAGGCATAAGACAGATCGAAGAATCCAGGGTTTTGGATTACTTTTTTATTGCTCCTCATCAGCATCTGTGCTCGTATCACCTTTCCCATGGACAGGCAGAGGTAGCAGTAGATCCCACAGGAATTCTATAGTGTGCGCTATGGTTCAGTTCCCACCTATACTGAGCTTTATAGACAGCTCCCTTATTCCCCTGAGTTCTTCTAGACAATATAACCCTAATGCACCTAAAAATGCTCTGTGAACATACTTGCAGGCAGACTGAAGCATATTTGCATGCTAAGAAGATTGTTATAACAGTGGTGACATTAAATCAGGAATCCTGTCATAACTCCTTCAGCCTAATGCGTGTAGGACTACCAAGGCTCTTTGAGAGCAGCGTGATCCCAGGAGGTTGGGTAGGTACTGCCAGAGGCACCATACAAATGTCCCATAAACATGTATCTATACAATTGCCTAGTGTCTTAGCGGAGTAAACTCTCTACTTTACAGGAGACAGAGCCTTCTCTCTGAATGCTGGTTCATGATACAACTTGTGATGGGGATATCTAAATTGTGCACACGAGAGAAAAGAAAACAGAGAGTCACTTGTTTTTTTTTTTCCTCTGCCTGTTTGCTCGTGGCTTGGAGGCTGACTGAGAATATGTCCCCTCCTAGGTATAGGGAAGACATTAATATCACTTAGTGGCTCAACAGTGTATGTGGAGAGGGAATACTAGCTTTTCTCCCTTCCCACTGATGGCAGTGGGGTAGAGTGGGATGTTCACACTAGTTCATCTAGAGGTCTATGTTATCACAACATGATGGGGGGCTGGGAAGCACCTGTGATAACCTAGTTTCTGGGTAGCTGACTAAAGAACTCCTCTGTGGTCAAAGGTGTTTCCTCAAGGTGGTAATGGCACTAACAGCCCCACTCTGAGCCATGGCACTGGCAAAAGCAAGCATTCATTCTTACAACATTAGGATTCAGTAATACCAAAAATCCTCTCATAACTGTGGCTCCATTGTGCCAGGCACCATACAAACACAGCAAGACATAGTCCCTATTTATTATCTATATTTCAGTAGCACCCAGAGGGCCAAACCAAGACTGGGACTGCATTTACTAGACACTGTACAAACATGTAGTGGGAGACAGTTGTGCCCCAGTGATCTTGAAATCTAAATAGAAAAGCATCTGAGAAGAATCAGGTGAAGCTACTTGTTGAAACTCACACAGCAGGTTGGGGCAGAACTGGGACTAGAACCCAGGTCTTTGGAGTCTAGGGCTGCCAACACCCTTTTATTATAAGGGGGACATCCCTTATTTAATTAAAATATTGTTTATTCCATACTAAATCAGCACAGGACACCTTTTATCACATATTTCAACAAGGTTCAATGCCACTCAAGTTGCTGGTGGTTGGCAATTTGACCTGATGCACAGGGTTGCAGTGCTACTCAAATTTGGCCTAGCCACCCTTCCATCATGTTTAAGTAGCCCCTGGACCTCTGGGTTTCTCCCCTATTTTTGAATTACAATATTGGTACCTATCCATGAGACTGTACTGCCGCCAGATGATCTTTGCTCTGCTGTGTTTATGATCTGATTTTAGACAAGCTGGGGTAACAAGTAATAGGAAGAAAGGAGACAGAGAGTGAGGGTAGGAGTAATAAAAATGCACTGATCCATTGTTGGCTGTGTGCACAGCTGGAGGGCCCTGGATCATCTGACCATTTAAAGAAGATCTTTTTTTTAAATTGCTATTAAATCACAAATTCATGAACCCCTTTTACAGTTACCCATTTCCCAAGGAGGCAGGGCCTGCTGGCTGCTATTCCTTTCTCTCTGGGGCTGGTGGTGAAAGGGGATGTCTTAAGCCACCCTGAGGGGAGGGTCGCCTGCTGCCACACCTGGAACGCAGGGGACTGGAGAGCCCCATGCTGCTGCCCCTGTCTCTCTAGGAAGGGGTGGGTCTCTTTGCCAAGGCTACTTCAAGTGTGTGTGTGGGAGGAGGACAAAGCAGTGGGGGCCCTGTGTCATGGTGTGCCTATGGCCCCAGGTTGCCTTAATCTGGGCACCATTACTGAAGCTACCAGCAGATATCTGAGGGGAGTGGACAAAAAATGTTGCCTCTAATAGTGGCTGCCTTCCTGGCTCCCAATACCTGAGAAAGGAGTTGGGGGGAACTGCTGTACTAATGTATTCTCTACCCGCTACTTGGGAGATGGGTTTTTTTTTTTATGGGAGCCTTATACTCTCCTCTCACAACTAAGGCTGAGCCCTCCTAGGCAGGGCTGTCTTTGTCTTTTCCCTTGGGTAGCAAGAAGGGAAAGGTGAGAGAGGCTGTGTGGGTTTGTCTCTTCACCTTTTCTTCCTTTAGGCACTAAGAGGACTAGCATCTTGGGTGGAGGGCATGGGTAGGTCCAGAGGCTCCATTTCACTCCCTCTTGTTGGGACACTGGTTGGAAATATACCACCTCAACGAGGAACCTAAAAAGAGGGTCTCTGAATATTGTTTCCGGTTGCAAACCTTACACGCAGGTTGAGAGACCCAAACCTTTCATCTGTACCCACAAAATTCGGCATGGGGGAGGGGGTGTTTCAGATTAAAGGTCTGAGTTTGACCCCTCTGTAAGTGAAGGTGATATTTGTTCACTAAGACATGCACTTACATTTTAACACCCCACATCTACAGGATGGATGTGTGTCAAGGTTCCTTCCCCACTCTGAACTCTAGGGTACAGATGTGGGGACCTGCATGAAAACCTCCTAAGCTTACTTTTACCAGCGTAGGTTAAAACTTCCCCAAGGTACAAATTAATTTTACCCTTTGCCCTTAAAATTTCCACTGCCACCACCATACTTTAACTGGGTTTACTGGGAAACGTAGTTTGGACACATCTTTCCCCCCAAAATCCTCCCAATCCTTGCACCCCACTTCCTAGGGAAGGTTTGGTAAAAGTCCTCACCAATTTGCATAGGTGACCACAGACCCAAACCCTTGGATCTTAGAACAATGAAAAAGCATTCAGTTTTCTTACAAGAAGACTTTTAATAGAAGTAAAGGAATCACCTCTGTAAAATCAAGATGGTAGATACCTTACAGGGTAATTAAATTCAAAACATAGAGAATCCCTCTAGGCAAAACCTTAAATTACAAAAAAAGACACACAGGGATAGTCATTCTATTCAGCACAGTTCTTTTCTCAGCCATTTAAAGAAATCATAATCTAACACATACCTAGCTAGATTACTTACTAAAAGTTCTAAGACTCCATTCCTGTTCTATCTCCAGCAAAAGCAGCACACCGACAGACATAGATCCTTTGTTTCTCTTCCTCCTCCCAGCTTTTGAAAGTATCTTGTCTCCTCATTGGTCATTTTGGTCAGGTGCCAGCGAGGTTACCTTTAGCTTCTTAACCCTTTACAGGTGAGAGGATTTTTTTCTCTGGCCAGGAGGGATTTTAAAGGGGTTTACCCTTCCCTTTATATTTATGACAATGTGTTTGTGAAGGTTCCTGTCAGATTCCTGTAGTGTCTTCATTTATTATACGGATCTGAACTTCCAAGTGCAAAGAGCAAGCCTCATGGCCTGGATAGATTTAATAGCTCCCTTAAAACAAGACAACTCCAACCAAACTGTTGTGTATGTTTATAGTGTGCTTGGTTGTGTATGTAATGTTGAATATAAAATATGAGTGGATACAACACGATTGCACACACAGAGACACAGGTATTTGCCTGTACGCGGCAGAGTATAAAACGTATAGCTATAATATATATTATATACATATGTGTATAATGTGTGTGTTTATAATTATATATGAAGGGGGGGATGCGTGGGTTGAAGAAACCACATTCTGGCTGCTTATTACCAAGCGATAAACAACAGCCTGAATCCCAGCAGTCTAGCGAGCCTGGGACATTTTAAAGTGAATTCTTATCCTCTCGAGTTGGAGATCTCCAATTAGCCTCAGACTAAAGCGCACAGCGTGTGTGTGAAACAGGCAGTTGCTGGCACGCAATCTTTCCCAAGGTTGTGCTTCCTTTCCTTTTTCCTGAGATTTGGCTCAGGGGGAAGGGGTCGAAGTCACATGGACGCAGAGCTTTTGATTAATGTCCAAGCTGCCCGAGCTGCTGCTGCTGAAGCCTTCCCACCTCGCAGTCACACAGAGCGCTGGGAGAGCAGGCAGCCGGTGACCACTCATTTCCTACAGGCTGTTCCCCCTTCCTTACTGGAAGAGAACACACGCATTTTTATTGCTTTGCTCTTCTGGCCCTCAAACCACTTCTTGAGCCGTGGAAGAGTGAGCGAGTCTGGTTAACAGCCTGCAAGCCACGGAAGACCAGCCCCGCGCTATGTAACTGAGTGGGGTCTTTTGTTGTCCCATCTGAACTTTGCTAGAGGAAACACTGAGGCAGCGTTTCCTATTGGTGGCTGCAAACAGCAGAGGAGCTGGGAGAAGCAGGAGCTGGGAGCGAGGCTTCGCTTTGGGGAACAATGACAGAAGAAAGCAAAGGGGAAGGGAAAGGGGAAAGCGGGAAGGACCTGGAGAAACAGCTTCGCCTCAGGGTGTGCGTTTTGAACGAGCTTCTGAAGACTGAGCGGGACTATGTGGGGACTTTGGAGTTTCTGGTGTCGGTGAGTTAAGTTTCACGAAGCTGGGTTCATTGGTGGCTAATGGAACAAGTGACTTGTTGAACAGGAACAGCACCCTCTTCCCGCCCTCACAGGTTTACCGGCGGGGGGCGAAACCAAGGAATTGGGGCTGTCGCGTGGGGGGAGAGGGCGAGAGACCCAAACAAACAAGCTCGGAGGCAGAGCCGGGTGAAATAGTTTTCCCGAGTCAATCAGTTGATCGCAAGTAGCTGTTGTTTCTCTGTTGCTTTAAAGAGACTGAAGCGAAGTGGCTTGTAAATGGCTGGCCCTAGGTGCGCTTTTTCAGGGAATTTACCACGAGACAAACAATTGATCTGGGACTGGCATCCAAGAATAGAGTGCAGTGAGATTCAGGTACACTTTGTTCAACGATCTTTTCAGTCTCCCTGCGTTGTTCAGACAGCAGCACAGTGCAGTCCTTTCATTTACAATAACCCTTGAAACACAGTATTCTGGTGGGGGGGTCACAGAAAGAGCAAAGGGGGGTTCTGATCTACAGCAGCTGTTGAGTATTAAAGCCACATGTGGCATTCACCCCTTCCTCTACCCCCATATTCTCCAATTTAAACCAGCCTTTGTAATGTAGTGGTTGGATGGAGAGTTGAAGGAACGGTTTCTTGTTTAAAAGTGTATCTTAGAGTATGTTTTAGCAGTAAGTTTTAGCTTCATTCTGTGTCTTAAAATCAATGTTAACAACATGATTTATTGTTAGGTTCAAATCAGGTAGTTGCAGAAACTTTTGCTTTCTGCTGAAGTTATCCTCTGATAGAGCCAAAGAAAGCACTATTTTCACTATGGATTGATAAGACAAACATCATAACATTTCTTCCCTTTCCCATTTGCACCCAGCATCAACAGCATTACTTTAAGGCCTCTTTGGGATAAACAAATCTCAAGTCATCTGCTTGGTTTTGCAGAGGGTCTTCCATAATAGCCCTGACGTTCTTTTCTCTCCTCCCCCATCTCCTCTGAAGGGGCAATCTTTCAAACAGCAAACTTCCTGCTTTTTTTTTTTTTTTGGAGATCTCTGAACTTTCTGCTTATTATCATGGCAAAGGAAAGTCTCAACTTGGCTATGACAAGGAGAATAAAAGCACAGACAGTGGAGTGAAATAAGATCTACAGAGTAGCCTTTTTGTCCATTTGTTTATGTAAAACTATCAGTGGGCCAATGTCTTTTGCTTTTATATTTGAATATTAAAAAAAGAGAGAAAGCGGTAGTAAAACTGTACTAGACTATGCTTCCATTTAGCAACCATGCTGTGCTTATTGGCACAAATATTGATTTTGAAGTGACTTTGTCCAAAGTTTGGTTTTCAGACCCGTATTTGATCTACCTCACAATAATTATAATGTTTACATTTTCACAAGTGACCAGTTATTTGGGATACTCAGTCTTTGGGTATCCAACTTGAGACTCCTTTATAGGGTTTTGGTTTTCAAAGCATGGATTCGGTTCCTCCCCTGCCTGATGTGGAGCAAGGATTTGATATTGGGTCTTCTCATTTCCAGGAGGGTGCTCTAACCACTGGACTATGGGGTATTCTGGGACCAGTTTATTACACTGAAGCAGTTCCAGAATGTATAAATTACTAAACACGCATTGGAGGAGGGGGACTGGAATCTGGGTCTCTATATACAGTGGAAGAGCTTCAAAAGAAGTGATTGAGAGACACCTTCCCCAAAATACCCCATAGCCTGGTGGTTAGAACACCCTCCTGAGAGGAGGGAGGTACAACTTCAAATTCCTGTTCCACATCAGGAAGAGGTGGGAATTGATTCCTGGCCAGTGTGTTAACCAATGGGCTAAAAGTTATAAAGGGGACAGTGGCGTCAATTCCTTCTGTGTTTTTTGCAAGAAAGAGATTAGGTGCCTAATTTCCGGAGAAGGTTCATGACTGAGAATCCAGTGAAGATAGGTGCCTCCCTCTGACCCAGACTTAGGTGCTTAACTCCCTTTGAGGGGTAGGGCTTAGGCCACACCCCACTCATATGTATTCCCTATTGGTTATCTTAGACAGCTCTCTGCTCAGCATGCTGGCCTTTGTGGATCCCATTTTTGGTGCCTCTCTAGGTATAGAGGTCTTAGGCATCTGACGTGGAGCTGTGGATTTCACTGGGTGGCACAGCACAAGAACATTAGGCAATGGAAGGCCGAGCACTGTGACACTTAAGACCCTTTGTGGATCTAATCCTCATGCTTTTAAAAATTTTACCGCTTGAAATTAATAGGATCAGAAAATATTTATCACATCTTGAGATCAGGGCCTTTTTTTGTGAGGCCCACAGAATGCAATGTATTATGCTATGTTTGGAGAGGCAACTAGCTACAATTACAAACATTACAACACAAGAGACCCTGGTGTATATGGCAAGCTAGTTTGACTAGACAAGATGGTGCAGAAATTCAAGTTGTTAAAAATGGTCATATATTTTCAGATATGTTAAATATAGGAAATAAATAAAACTAGCTTGGTAAATGAAAAAGGCCAAAATTAATAGGGAAAACTTGTGTGAAAAACCTCAATGAGGCTATTGTGACGAAGCGGGAACAAAGACATTTAAACCATGAGAAATTACTTGATGGTGTCATTTTTCTCATTTTGAAAGTGAATGCAATGTTAATGAAAGATTTGGGATTAACAGCATTGAAGATTAGAGTCCTTTGTTTATCTGTAGAACTCGTTCAGGTCTGGGTGGTTTCCATGTACTATCCTTTCAATGGACTTCAATCAGGGACCCTAATTTAGGATAAGAGGGTAATTTGTTCTCCAGGCCCATTCAATCCTTGGAATTTTTGCTGAAACTGTCAAAAAATTTATTCGTTGTGCAGATGTTTTTTATGTTATTTGCATGCCTTTTACGAGCTACACTAAGGTTACTATCTCTTGTTATAGGCACTGTGGTGGTGCTCATCATTGTGGTATCTGATCACTATCTCACACAGGCTACTGTGTGTGATCAAATATGAAGTCAGTACTAACTTTCAGTCACTATCAATCTGGGGTAGATTCTGAGAGGTAAAGGACTCCATACCCCATTTTACCAGCTGCCTGATAACATTTTTTTGTTAACATTCATCACATATGGTTCTGAACAAGTTCTGTTAGTCTAACAATGTCAATATAATTCCAATACTGAAAATGAAATGAAAATATTAGACGTCTATGTGGTCATGATGGTGATTTTTTTTTTACATTTTTGGCAAGCTGACCTATAAAATATTCGGGAAGGAATTTTCATGTGACCATTCTATGCCTTATAATCAAATGTGCCCTGTTAAGGCGTGATAACACAAGATGATTTGAGCAGCAATGTGATTACAAGGGGGAATGACTGGAATTCCGTGTTATTATAAACCATAGTTCCTGACTCAGGAGGAATTGGTAAAAGAAACGGACAATAGATAACATGAGGTGGAGTTTGTGTGAGAAAATAACATAAATCATAATAGATTTATCAGCTCTAAAGTAAAATTCCTTCTAATATTAAAATTGAAAACCTGAAAGACTGAAGATATTGACACAAATGCTTCTTCAAGATCTACTGAAGTAACTGGACTATGTACAATAAGTAGGGCCCTACCAAATTCACAGTCCATTTTGGTCAATTTTATGGTCATAGGATTTTAAAAATAGTCAATTTCACCATTTCAGATGTTGTTTATATCTAAAATTTCATGGTGTTGCTACCTTGGGGGTCCCAGACCAAAAGGAGGTTGCAGAGGTTGCAAGGCTATTGTAGGGGGGTTGTGAGATTGCCACCCTTACTTCTACACTGCTGCTGGCGGGACGCTGCCTTCAGAGTTCGGCAGCCAGAGAGCAGCGGCTGCTGGCTGGGTGCCCAGCTCTGAAGCCAGCATCACTGCCAGCAACAGCGCAGAAGTGAAGATTGCAGGGTATGGACAGTGGGTTACCATATGTCCTGGTTTTCATGGCAGCCTTCTGCCTGGGTCAGGGTTTGACAGCTGGGGTCCCAACCTCCTGCTCGGGTTGGGGGCTGACAGCCACCCTCACTTCTGCGCTGCCTTCAGAGCTGGGCTCCCAGCCAGGAGCTGTGGAGCTTCCTGCAGCTGCGGAAGGTTCCTGGAGATGAGTCTGACCTGGCTCTGGGAGCAGCCGCCGCAGGGGAAGAGGAAGTCCCATCCCTCCCCAGCCCACGCTGGGACTAGCAGCTGGAGCCTGGCGCACTGTAGGAGCCCTTGGCTGGAGCACTCCCAGTCCTTCCCCTCCCCTACAGTAGCCAGATTTCACAGTCTGTGATGTGGTTTTCATGGCCATGAATTTGGTAGGGCCCTAACAATCAGATACTGTAATCTTAGAATGTATCTGAATTGTAAAATTCTGCTTGCCCGCTCACTGAGAATATTTTGATTAGATAAACAAAATTCCTTTCTTCCCCAGTCATTCCTCATCTGTTATCATTATCATGGTAAGGAAGGTCAAGAACACTTTTTTGTCTGGGTGGGTAAATTTGTATCACAGTTTTTCCAGGCTGGTGTGTATTTTACGTGAAATACAGCAGAGGTATGTCGAGTTGGGTAAATACTTTCATTACTGAATTGGGCATTGCTGTCACATCTATATGTGATTTCTCCTACTGGCCTATTTTTGGTGTTTTTAGCCTACACACATCAGAGATAAACCTTTGAGAGGACCAGATTATATTAAAATTATTCTTTCTTTTTTCTGACTCTTCTGTGTGACAAACTGTAATTGCATGTCATATACAAATTCAGTTGATACCTCACTAATAACTGGACATATGGTCCCATTTCAGATAAGTACGTAAGCGCTTGCATAACTTTAAGCATACTAGTAGTCTCATTGCCATGAATAGGACTAGACATACACTTAAAGTTATGCATGTGCTTATGTATCTGACTGAAACATAGCCTTTATTGTTAGAGTATTTCATTCTAGCATTTGGAGTTTGAATTGGAAGCCAATATTTATTTGTTGTTATAGGAAAGTTAAATTATG